CAGCAGGCTGTGACTGTAGGAGACAAGAAATGCTGTGGCCCTTAATCATCCAGGCATTATCTCCATAGTCTAGAGTGGGACCCATCCCTCACCAGCGGGCAGGAGGGGCTGGCCAGTCAGTCTCAGGGAGGAAGGGTCCCAGTATGATCCAGGGCACCAGTCCAGCTCTTATGTGGTGCTCATGGCTAACTGCAGCCAGCTGGAGTGGAGCCTGCTGCACACAAAACCCGCCCTCTCTGCTCTCTTCATATAGAGGCCCCGCCCCACACCACCCCAGAGCTGTTCTCTGACACAATGAGAACCATCCTGACTGGCTCTGCTCTGGGTAGGGCACCAAGGTCAGGCAGGCGCTCCTTGGCACTTCTACTGCCTGGCTGGACTTAGGAACTGCTTGATAAACAGGGCCTTGGGGACATGCTCTCCACCCCCAATTCAGGGAGTACCATCCAACAACAGCTTCAAATCAGACTTCTGAAGAGTGAGGCTTGTTTTCCAGCCTGAGGAAGTGTGAGGACTTTACTGCTTCTCCTTGGAGCAATCCAACTTGGCCTGTCTCCAAAGCTGGGAAGAATAAAAGGGCTCAGGATGGGTGACCATGGCATTAATGTATTCCCATCACTAAGAACTATTCACCACTGCCCACCAGTACTGAATGAGTGAGTGTGGCCATTTCTGGCTGCTGAGAGGAGTCCCTATGCTCTGATCATGTGGGTCCCACAGTCTCTGGCCATAGTGGGCCTCAGCATTACAAAGTTTAGCAGGTACACCTTACTTGTACTAGCCTTCAGGAGTACAGGTATGACATCCCCCTCCCTAGAGTCTTTTTCACACACCCATATGCACAGACAAGTCACTTACTGAGGAACTTGCACAGCTGTGCAAGCTGGGGAATGGAAATTGGGTTCCTGAAAATGACCATGATCTGGGGACCACACCACCCCTGACACTAACACAACAGCTTCTGACCTCTGGAAACAAAGAATTCACACGTTTTACTTACACCCATGCTACTTGCCAAGTAGCCCACTGTGACTAGTCCCTTCTATCTCACATTTCTACAGTGTGGCTACACTAAAGCCGTGAGAATCCCTATTGGAACCCCTGTTCACTGAAGCAGGCCTAGGTCTGCCTATCTCATGGCCCTGGAGTCTCTGAACCATTTGTGAAGGACACTAAGTATGCACTGGCTGCTGTCCTGCCCAGCACAATGCAGCTTCAGTGGCTAGCCACATGGAGCACCTTCCAGAAACCCCAGCCCTGTAACCCTTGTTGCTCTCTAGAGTTCAAATCTATTTCATTTAAATCCAGCATGACAGTCTATTTCAAGTTTTGCCCTGTTCAAGACTGGTAATGAGAACTCACGAAAAAGTACTTCCCATTTGTACACTCAGATCTGTGACCACAGAGAGGTAAAGTGATGACAGCAATGCACCAGGCCACCACCTGGCCATTGTCCATACTCTGAGCAGAAATCTGGAAACTCTTAGGGTTTTTACTGCTGTGAGAAATACCATAACCAAAAGCAGTGTGGGAAAAAGGGGTAATTTTATGTGTCTAGGTAACAGTCCATCACTGAGAGGGTAGGGCAGGAACTCAACCAGGGCAGGAACCTGAGGAACCCTGCTTACTGGCTTGCTCTGTTGGCTTCCTTCCACACCATCCGGGGCCTCCTGTTGAGGAGGGAACCACAATGGGCTGCCTGCTCCCAATAAGTCATCAATCAAGACAATCCCACAGTCTTGCCCACACAGCAATCTTATGATGACAATTCCTCCACTGAGTTTCCCTCTCCCCACATATTTTTAAGTTTGTGTCAAGTTGACAAAAGCCAACCAGCACACCTTCTGTGCTTAGGGTTATAGAAGCATGAGCTAATAATGGCCGCTAAGCTTGTGGTTATCTATGACACAACAATAAAAACTGACACACAGACCAGGGTTCCTGAGTCTGCTAAATCAATGGATGCCTACAGAAAGCCTTTGTTTTTAAGTGGTTTCAATGAACTGAATATCAACTGACTCATCAAACTCCCTGCCAAACAGCCCAGTCTCTGCAGATGGCCAGTATGAACTTCTGACACATGCAACAAGAAACCAAAGCACTCTCTGCCAAAGCAGGGCCTCTTTCTTCTGTGAATACGTCACCTCCACCCTCATGTTCTTGTGTGCTATGGGAATGCACTGGTAGAAGAGGCAGTGCTTGAAAGGGACACAGGCTCTGAGCCATTATAAGAAAGACTATCCAACTATACAATTTCTTATAAAACATGTTTGTGCCAGAGAGATAGCTCAGTGTTTAGGAATACAAGCTGCTCTTCAAGAACACCCAGGTTCGGCTCCTAGCACCCACCCACATAACTTTAACCCACCCACATAACTTTAACCCACCCACATAACTTTAACTCTAGTTCAAGAGGATCTAACCCTCTTCTGGCCTCTGCAGGCACTGAACACATGTGGTGTAAATACGTACATTTTGGCATATATTTTATGCTCATACACATAAAATAATAAAAAATGGGCTGGAGAGATGGCTCAGAGGTTAAGAGCATTGTCTGCTCTTCCAGAGGTCATGAGTTAAATTCCCCAAAAGTAAAAAATGTACAGTAAAATTAAAAAAAAAACACCAAAAGTAAATGACTGAGAAAGAGCCTTCACATTCTGTGAGAAATCCTTCACATGCTTTGTCACACCTGATACACACAGAACCTTTAAGGATCAATCAGGACAAGGTCAGACAGCCCAGAGATGCAGTATCCTTATTGACTTTAAAAATGTGTGTGTGTCCATGGTGCATACATTTGTGCATGGTCTCTGCATGTGGAGGCTAGGGGCTGACATCAGATGTCTTCCTCTATCTTTCAAATTAAGTCTTTCACTGAACTTGGACCTTACCATTTCGCTAGATTGGCTGGCAGCCAAGTCCTAGGGATCCTCCTGTCTTTGCCCAGCACTGAGACAGCAGCATGTCACACCTTGCCCAGATTTTGTTTTGTTTTTCAAGACAGGGTTTACCTGTGTAGCACTGCCCGCCTCTGCCTCCCAAGTTGTGGGATTAAAAGTATGCATCACCACTGCCCAGCTGTTGCCCAGATTTTTATGTGGGTGTTGGGGATCCAAATTTAAGTCCTCATGTTTGAATGATGAGCATTTTATCAATGGGGTGAACTTCCCAAATACTTGTTTTTCTTGTTCCTATAATAGAATCTTGGGGACTAGCTAATTTAGAAAGGGAAGAGGTTAATTTCAGTCTGTAGTTAAGAAATTCTCAGAGAACAGTGCTATTCAGTTAGCTTCTGGAGCTCCACGGGCTGCACTGTATCATTGTGGAAAGGCATAGAGGGGAGGCAGGTGTGCATGGAAGTTGTATATCAACAAGACAGGAAGCATGAGAAAGCCAAGGAAGCCAAACTTACTTTATAACAATCTGGTCTTGGGATAACTTGCCCACTCTGAGAGAACTACATTAATGCCTTTATGATCTGAAGTGCCTCTTGAAAGCCCCACCACCTTTCAACACAGTTATATTAGAGACTAAGCCTCAAACACAGTGTGTATGCAAAGGATATAAAAATGCAAGCCACACTATCATGCAAATGGTTGTAGCCCATGACAAGGCCTCCCACTGACTCCTGCTGCCCACTAATGATGACCTTATACAACCCCTCCCACTGCACTGGGAACTGAATTTAGTGACTTGCTTGCAACCAAGAGCAGCAAAGCTTCTATGATCAGGTGACCCAGATAATCTTACCACCATGAGTTTCTTTGGCAGACTACACATAAAGAAACAAACAAACAAACAAACAACAACAACAAAAAAAAAATCAGGTGCCTCATGGGGCAAGGACTAGGGGGTCTCCAGGAATAGCAGTGAGGAAGAGGGACCTAGGTCAAGCAGCCCCTTAGGCAGTGAGCAGGAAAACACCTGTAGTCTCAGGAAAGAGGGGTCCTAGTCCATGGCAGCTATGAGCTTTTTAAAAAAGTAAGACATTGTAATCTGTGAAGATTTAGGTAGCAATAGAAATGAACACATGAAATACAATTTCCATCTAGCAGGTGTGTGTGTGTGTAGCTGTGTTTGCAGGTGCTTGAAGGTGTCTTCTACTACTCTTGGCTTTATTCCTTTGAGTCAAGGTCTGTTATTGAACCCACAAGCTTGCCATTTTGGCTAGGATAGCTGGCCATTGGGCTCCCAGGATGTGTCTCCATTCCCCAGGTGTAGGGTTATCTGAGTTATAGGTGCACTGCAGTAATGTCCAGCTTCTACTGGTATTCATTCTCAGCCATTGAGCTGTCTCCCCAACCCCTAGCATATTGCTAAAGATGAGAAAGGCTGGCAATGATCTGCCCACAAGTGTTAGGTAATGGGTATCTTCTACAGTTTTCCCTGAACTAGGAAGGAGATCTGGTAATAGCCATATGTAGGTTCTTGCAGTAATATTCCCACTGACTGCCTCAGTGCAACATAGCTTCTAAAGTTCACTCGTGGCAGCATTTGGTAGTGATGTTAGATTAAGTTGCTGCTATGAACTGCCCCCTGCAACAATGCATATATGTAAGTATTGGTCTTCCATACCTCAGGATGTGAATATTTCTGGAGACATGGCCTTTAAAGGGGAAGTAGAAATGAAGTCATTAGCTCAAACCCTAACTCAATATGGCTGGCCCCCTAAGAAGAGACAGAGACACAGATACAAGAGAGGCCTCAGAGGGAAAACATCTTGAGATGCCTTGACATTGGGCACCCAGCCTCTGCAATAGAAACAAATTAGCTTTATGTTCCTCACTCCCTCATAGAACAACAAGAGACAGGAAGTGGTCCAGTGACTAGATAGATCTATAGGGTGAGACAAAAGTTTCATGACCCCAGACACTATTCCGCTGTGCATAACTTGGGTTAAGCTAAAAGAACTTCACCCAGTACATAGAAAGGATGGCTTCCTGTGAGCTTCAGTTTCCCTCCTCAGGTTCCCCTGCCCCCAGGCAGCTGTCTCTCACCTGGAAATAGTTCAGAAGCAAGCCAGCCCAGGACAGCCCCAGGCCTGCGAGCAGGAAGGGTATTAGCACCTGAAGGCCAATGACCAGGGCGCTCTCCCTGCCACTCTCAGCCTCCAGTGATTTGGGGTCCATACTTTGGCTCTCAGAGACCCCCTGATGTCCATCATCGGAAGCCTCTGGGAGTCTTCCTGCACCGTGGTTGGGTGATGGCCCCAGCTCCTTCAGCCTGCCACAGCCTTCCAGCCTCCGCTGTCGGGCCTCCGTCCCTTCCATCGGCACACAGCTGAGCCCAGCAGCCCTGACCTGGGAGACACAAAGTGACAGTGCTGAAGGGTAGAACTACTGACCAGTCAGGACCCCTCAGACTCCATCCATTCACCTGGCAGCCATCATTCAGTCAGCCTTCACAGACTCTAGCACCATTACTCTCTGCAGTTTAATATCATATGTACAGGTCTGAGGATGACACACATAGCTATTGAAGGACTGTTAACCATACATAGGAGACAACAAAGAGTGACACGCTCTATCAACCAACCAATCAAAAACCTGACCAGGCACTGATTAGGAAGAGTACACTCAATAAGCAGGTCCTGGCTTCTATCCTCAATACCACCACCCAATATGAATGAATGAATGAATGAATGAATGAATGAATGAATGAATGGCAACAGAAGGTATAGTTGGAACCACCCTTGTCAGAACTCTGGGAATTAAGCCAAGACTTGTAGCAACCCAAGGACTATCAGGAACACTGTGACCTTCATCATATTAGTGACAGTCCAACTCCCTCAGTCTCATTGTCTTTAGCCTGGAAGATGGCTGGCTGGGAGGGTTAATTCTGTCTGCCAATGTGATTAGATTAAGAAGTGTCCAGGGCAGTTCTGAGGCGTGCCTTGCAGAGACCATCAAGCCTTTCTGAATGAAAAGAGAGAAAGGTGTTTTCCGAACTGTCCAGATGCAAGCAAGCCCCTGCTTGTGTGCCAGCATGCCTTCCCGCCATGATGGGCTGTACTCTCAAACCTGAGAAAAGAAATAAATACCCCCTAATGTTCTTCTGACAGGTATTTGTTCAGAACAATAAGGAAAGAAACTAATACCTTGGGGAGAACCAGGAGCCTGGAGCCCTTTGGCTATCCAGAACAATTCTGGTTCCCACACCCATGTGGAGTTTGGGGGACTGCCTGAAGATCCCTAGTACTGAAAACCTCTGAAAAAATAACATGTGCTTCCTGGCTACTTTGCAGACTGATGAAAAAGATCAAAAGGAAAAGTTTGGGAATGATGTTCCAAGGCCAAAAATGCAATAGAGCATACATCCAGTGCTGGACATAAGTTAAAACAATGGCTGACCAGGCAGAGGGTGAATGCTGAGGGGGGATGCTAAGGGCTCTAGAATGGGAAGAGGCCCAGAGTGCCAACATTATCCCTCAGTGGGGACAGGAGACTGGGTGGTGAGTTATAATGGATCTCTTGGCAACAGAGACACGCACAGCACAGAATGGTGTTCAATGAAGTCACTAGACAGCAAGGGGCCACATAAAGTCCTCCTGGTAGGAGGATTTCAGTCCCAGAAATGGCTCACTCTTCAGAGGATGCAGTTTTCAACAACAAATGAGACAGAAACAATTCCACTTCAACAAATATGAGCCACAGAAACAAGAAAGTATGTCTCCAAAAGGAAAAAGCAGTTAACAGAAAGTGTCCTCTAAGGAGGATCAGGCTCTGGCCTGGAGGAAACATCAAAGTGGTTTTGTTAACACGTCCAAAGAATTCAAGGAACTTAGACCAAAGTGACAAAACTGGTGGCAGGTATGCACAACCTTGAAGCTGCTACCCTCAGGCAGAAAACACAAGTCCAGAGCCATGTGGTACAATTGCATGCTTCCAAGGACAGGCCACAGTGCTGTGAAGATAGGCAGTGGCAAGGCATGACTGTGGAGGAATGGGTAGGACTGTTAGGAGGGAGGAGGCCCTCCAGTGACCCCAGCAAGCCCTTCTGGGCCAAGATTTGCCTAGTAGCCCGGAACACCGAGAAACAATGAATCACCATTGCAGAATGTGTTGGCCGTTACAAGATAGTGGCCACTCTGCGATTCCAAAATAGTCCATCCAACCTTCCCAAAGGGACGGGGCTGAGAGCAGAAGACTGCCTGTGTGGGACAAAAACTGTCCTCTGCCACATGCTCAGAGGACAGCCAGGTTCATAGCATCAAAGGGCTAAAAATCTTAATGTAAATAAAACAAACTTTAAAGTAATCTAAAGAGTAGGACTTCTCCCAAGATTCTAGGAGGGACAACGAGTCCTGTAACTTGGAGCAAGGGGGAAAAAAGTCAAGATGATAGATGACCACAGGACCATGGGAAAGCAAGGTGCTTTCAGGACATGAATGGAGTGGCTAAAGTGAAGGGAACATTAGACCATCACCATCATGCAGCAGCAGTGTCAGCATTAAACAGTGACAAACACAACGCATGCCTCAAACTGGATGTGTAGCCAAGGAAAGTCTTGAACTTTCTGGTCCTCCTGCCTCCTGTGCAGTGTTGAGATTACAGGCATGCACCACCATGTTCATGGGGCACAGGAGACTGAATCCAGAGTTTCACACATGCCAGGGAAGCAGTGCACCAACTAAGCCACATCTGATGAGGACATATAAGCACATCCCATATGCAAACAGGAGCCAGGAGTCCACACATGCTGGAAAAAACAAGAGCTGGACAGGAAGGCTGAAGCAGCCTAGTGCTACAGGATCACCAGGCAGGACACACTCACAGCTGCCGAGCAAGTATGGCCAAGAGAGACACGCCATTAAAGAGCTCCCCCAACCCAACTATTTCCTAGGAACTAGGCAACCAGAAGAGCAGAGCCACACACAGTTGGAGCTGGGTGCACAGCAAACACATGGGCCTAACTTGGCAGCCCCAGTTACTCAGGAGGCTGATGTGGAGTGATCAGTCAAGTCCAGGAATTCAAGGTCCGTCCTAGCAAAATAGCAAGTTCTCTCTCTCTCTCTCTCTAAGGCAAAAACAAAAACAACCAACCCAAACAAGAATTAACCATACCAGCTGGTCATTAATACCACTGAGATTACAGTTAAACTTGAACAAGCTTCCACATAGACAAAGAAACAAGGTCATGATGAAGACAGCAGGCTTTCCTGCCAAAATGATCCACAGAAGTCCCTCACTGATCCACAGAAGTCCCTCACTGGATTGCATGGACAAGTGCTGCTGATTCTTAACCCAGAATAAGCCATGGATAACCAGACATCTACCCCAACTGCTCAGAGAGACTGCTATTTCATTCCTGCTTGAATTTGGTGAGGCTCCTTAAACTCTAGAAATTCATGTGCACGTACACATACACACACACAAACATACACACACAATAGAAGCAAAAATATACATGTGCACATACACACACAATAGTAGCAAAATTACAGAGATTGAGGAAAATGGGAAGGATGTTTCTGCTTTCCCTAGGTGCTATGATGGTGCTTAAGTAAGTTCCTTATACAGCACAATCCTTGCACAGGGCCTCTCTCTGCACACCATCCAGCAAGTCTTCTAGTCATGACAATGTCTGACACAGGCCTGTGATGTATAAATGGCTGTGGGTATTCAGTTAGTATGACAAGCACAAGGGTCTGTGAATAGTCAACAGACAAGGCTGTTTCTGCTGAATCTTTGCAGGTTCAAGCTTGGCTGACTGGCTGACTCTACAGATGAGGGACATAGAGGGTAACTGGGTAAACACTCCTACCATGATGTTTCTCTCTAGCCAGTATTAAAGTGAGCTGATTACCAGTATAGGTAGCTACAACTGTGGACATATTAAAACTACTGCAGGTACCATTTAGGCTTCAATGAAGTGTTCTGAACAGTATGAAATATATACAGTCAATGCTTAAGTGTCTCAGGGAGAATAAAGTACCATCTTAGCAATGAGTATGTCTCATTAACTGTGCAAATAAATGGAGTGCAGCCACTAAAGACAGCAGGGTGTCAAACCAGGCCAACATAGGCACTGAGTCTGGAGGAGCCTCACTCCTCAGGCAGACACCTCTAGGTCTCAGGGACAGGAGCAAAGGGGTGTCTGGCTCCCTCTGTTGGCAGAGTAGAGCTTGGACATGCTGAACATCCAGAGAACAGTTAGGACAAACAAGAAAAATAACAAAATAAAAATAAATTATGATAGGAAACCTTTTGATCCAAAGCCACTCAAACTCCTAGAGAATAGGGAAGGGGAGAGAGAGAGAGAGAGAGAATCAATACAAGAATATCAAGTTCAAACATATAGCAGTGCAAAATTCCAAACAATATTTACAAGTAAGTTAGTTTATAACCAGAGAGATGGCTCAGTAGATAAAGGTGCTTGTCACCAAGCTTGACAACCTGAGTTCAGTCCCTGGGACACACATGGTGGAAGGAGAGAACTGACCAACTCTCCTAAGTTGTCCTCTGACTTCTACAAGTGCACTGTGACACACACACACACACACACACACACACGCACGCACGCACGCACGCACGCACGCACACGCACACATGCATCACACACAAATATGAATTTAAAACTTAAAGCAAGTCCAGGAGAAAATATTTAGTGCCAATAAAAAAGACAAGATTGAGTGTGACAGATATTGACACTAAGCAGCCAACTGCAATCTTGGTGAACTGCCTTGCATCTCCACCAGAGGGCCCCAAGGCCCACGCAGACAAAAGGCCCCACACCTGCCAACTGGCAGTGACTATTTGGCTTCACAATCCTCACTCCACGTACACAAACATTCATGCCAGAGAAAGCCCTTCCAGAGTGTACACTGGGGATCAAGTCAGTCCCTTGAGCTGGCTGAGCCTAACAGTCAGCATGTCATCTGCGCCAGGTGGTGGACCATCCTGGCTCATCAGCAGGGACCTCCCCTCCTAGCCGAAGGCCCCTCAGATTCACTGGGAATGCTGGAGTATTTAATAAGGATAATATCACGTATCATTAAGATTTAAACAGGTGAACAAGCTAGGTCTCATGCAACAAAACAGAGATGGTGTCTATAGGGTAGTAGATTCAGGAAAACCTAATGTTTTAGATCAAGGTATGCTGGAGGCTTGGAGGATGAGGGTTCTGACTATAGGTGGCATCCTAGGATGGGCCCAGAGTCAGCTAACCCCTAAGTGTTTGGTTGCCTCAAGAAAGTGACTGCTACACACCAGTCCTGCAGCCCAATGCCATGTGTGGGGTCCAACAAACATCAGTACTAGATAAGTGATTAAAGACCCCCCCCCCCACCGTCCCATGGGTCAGCTGCCTTTGAAAGAGGATGGGACATGGCTAACTGTGACTAGAGCCTGATATATTCATACTCCTCCCAGCTGGCAACAGGGGTGGCCTGTCTGTCATCCAGATACTAAACACTACCAATCACAAGCATCATACGGCCCATTGAAACTGGCCTTGAACACAGGCCTATGAGTACCTGCTGAACACTC